AATTAATAAAACAAAATAGAGTTTCTATTTCAAATAGAAAGTGTTCATTATAATTACACTTCAATTAATAATAATAATAATAATAATAATAAATAATAATAATAATAATAGACACACACATGCATGCACGCTCTCTCTCTCTCTCTCTCCTTCTCACACACAGAAGCACACATACACACACCGATACGCACACAGATACATACATATACATATATATATATATATATATATATATATATATATATATATATATATATATATTAGGTTGGTGCAAGCATAATGACGTAATAATGTCGTTTTTTGACGTTAAAATACATCAAAAACGACATTATTACGTCATTATTTTTGCACCAACCTAATATATATATATATATATATATATATATTTGAATAAAAAACAGACCACTTTAAGGTTCCATGTAATAAGTTATTTCACCACAACCCCTTTAACAGGGCTCTGGATCATCAGACTTTACTTCCAAAGGTTGAAATGAAAAAGGAAACCTAAGTAAATACATTGAGAAATAATTATATAGGAAGAATAACATTGAATATTTTTTGTTTCTTTTGCCTTTGGAAATATTACTATGCACGCATGAAAGCCAACACATGACTGTATGTATACAACTATGATATTGTACTTGAACACTGATGCACCTGTTGATATGTACATGTATATGTTTTTATATGGAAAGAGAGGCATACAAGTTTTTTTTTGTTTTTTTTTATGTGAGTGGGGAGGTGTACAATTAGATGGGTACCTATATGTTTTGCCATAGATATGAAAGAGCGGGTAATATATGTGTAGAGATATGTATAATTATACGACTTGGGTATCCATAATGTAATTAAATATTGATATAGTCTTCGAATGCAGGCATAAGTGGGTGTATGGGTGGACATGAGGATAGAGACATGTACGTGTGTATATATGTGTGCGTGCATATGTACACATATGTATGTATGTGGATATATTGCATATTATGCATGTATATGCATGTATGTGTGTGTATGTGTATGTATGTATGTGTGTATGTATGTATGCATATGTGTGTGTATATATGTATACATATATGTGTGTAAATGCATATGGGCGTATGTACATGGATGTATATAGATATGGATATGCAGGTGATTTTATGTGTATATATGTATATATGTAAGTATAAGTGTATGTGCAGATATGTATGTAGATATGTGGGTATGTGTTTCTCTGCAGGTGAATATGTGTAAATATGGGAATATACATATAGTTTTTCGTGTGGATGTGTGTGCAGGTGTATATAAGAACTCATAGGTATATAGTGAGTTATAGGTATGTGGATATAGATAGGGGTTTGGACATGTGTAGAAGTGTATATGAGTATGGATATATAAAAGATTGTAAAAGAAGGACACAATTCTCTTCTAGTAATACTTTATCCAAATTTCTCGTCTAATATTCTCCAATTAGAAATGAGTTTAAATAACACGGAGGTAAAGTTTAAATTTGTAATTTAATTTAAATTGAAATACACTACCCTTTAACAATTAGTATTGACGATAAAGTTATTTAAATTGAAAGAACCTTTGATAATTATGTAGTTATATTAAAAAAAAATCACGAGTTTAATCGATGAACAAAACTGAAACGATCAACTCGAGTTTATTTAATTAATGAACAAAAAGCAAACGAATAGATGTCAACTTAACAATCAATAAGATACAAGTTTAGAAAAATAAAAAAGATGACTAAATATGAAACGGATTATTTTTTCAATGTACTCTCTGAGTTTTTCCAATCGACTGTTTCATAGAAAATACCCAAAACTCCAACAAACTTCAAATTAAGTTCTTCGTAGATTGTTTAGAAATTTAGATTTATATCAAAACTTAACCTCCCAAGTATGCCCTTTCAATTAATAGTGTCTAAGAATTTGAATAAAACCTGCCCTCGTGGAATGTAATTTATTAGGGTTGTTGTAGTTTCTTCCTTCAATTTCGGTCTTCTCCCTCACCCCTTAACCATCTATATCTAGAGACAATACGCGTTAGCCGACACACAGTGGGGTTAAGAATAAGGAATTGAAATGGTACATCTAACCCACTCATATCTTACCTTCTCTCCCACCTCCCTTCCTCACTTCCTTAATTTTACACATGCATGATGCGGTCCGTCAAAAACGTGTGAATTTCTTTTCATTTTTCATTTTAACCTTTGGAAGTAAAGTCTGATAATCCAGAAACCTGTTAAAGGGGTTATGGTGAAATAACTTATTACATGGAATCTTAAAGTGGTCTGTTTTTATTCAAACATATCGGCTCTGAATTTTACATTGAGCTCTCCGGGATATCTTCCTCCTTGGGTCTACCCATGCGGATTACCTAGTTTTGCATAAACTATATATATATATATATATATATATATGCATATATATGTGTGTAGGATGTGTGTGTGCACACAAACACACACACAAACACACACACATATATATATATATATATCTATCTATCTATATATATATATATATATATATATATATATATATATATATAAGGCAGGATGTGTGTGCGTGTAAAGATTGTGCGGCCGAAATTTTCGAGGGATTTGCACCAAAATTTACATGCACATGCTCCAAGTTAGCGGGAAGACCAAGACCGACATTGCATTTCCCAACTCCCATCGATAGTGGAAATAATCGATTTTCCATGCTTCTACGGCAGTTTTCATATGGTTTGCGGCAATTTACTACTGGCCAGTGTGAGAGCCAACAGCTGACTGACATGAATATTAACTATCATGCTAGCATACAAAAAAAATCGATAGCTGCATTCGTCACAAGTGAGAAAAATTTAAATCTACATGGCACTTTACTTCATTTGGCTCATTCGCTTGCTTAAACACAACGTTGATTCTGATTCCGCAGAACTGGGTTGGGTGTGAAAAAGTATTTGTTGTTAACATTCTTTTTTCATTCGGTTTTTCCAGTTACGAGTCCTTTTTTAAAGCTGATCGTTTTGTGTTCATTTTGTTTAGTTCTTTTTTCGTAACAGATTTAATGTTTAGTATAGAGCTTAGAAAAACATTCGCAATGTGAGATAGGAAAGAAGTAAGGCATGTAGCAACATCAGCACAGCAAAGGGCACTCCTTTAAAGGCAAGGAAGGTCAAAACTATTTTAAGTCAAGGGATAGCTATTGCTGTATGTGTCGTACGATTTTTTAATCAAGCACTGGCAACGCTGGCATATATATATATATATATATATATATATATATATATATATATATATATATATATATATATATGTATGTATGTATGTA